CAGCTGCCAGCAAGGAAACTCTCCTCCGCAGAGCTGCACCGTCTGGGGGGGCTGAGAGGGCTGGACGCCGGCTCCCAACAGCCCAATGCCTCCACCTGCTCAAGGGCGGGGGGAAAAAGGACAGGGAGAGAGAGAGACACATAAAATGAAGGACCGCATCCACACAAAAGGCTCCTTTGTGCCAGGACACAGAGATAAAAGCCCAGCCCTGGATGTCCTGTGAGGAGAGGCTGGAAGGGGAACTCTTTTCCATCTGCGGAACAGCATGCAGCTGCCTGGAGCGGGGCTTGTTCTTTAGGAAAGGCATCCCGAGGGCTCGGGAAGCTGCACGAGCCCTTTGGCAGCAGGAGGCACTGATTTAAGGAGCACCATCCCTAGTGACTTTGCAGCTCCGTGGCAGCAACACAGGAACAGAGGCAACAGCTCAGGTGTTGGAGCCCAAGCCCTTCCTCACCACACAGAGGGCACACTCCGGCTGGAGGAGATGGAAAGCCCTTGCTAGGACAGCCCAGACTAACAAGTGCCCACCTCGCCCAGGACCTCCCGGTGATGCAGCAACACCTGTAAGTACAACCCTCTCACCTGCTGCTCTTCCAACGAGAGGAACCGCTGGCTAAGGTGACGAGGCACATCGTTGCCGCTGGCGTCTCCGTAAATTGACGTCTCTGTCTCCGAGAGGCTTGCTCTTGCTCTGGGAAATCTGGATGAGGATGCTGAAGGCACTTCTTGGCGGTAGCTCGAGCCTCCCTGGGTAACACCAGCGGCCAAGCGACTGCGTCTGCTCATTGCCACGCTCTCTGTCCCTTGCCGGCAGGGCTCGGCTTCCTCCATCCCTAAGACCTGGCGCAGGCTGTCTGCTAGCTCCAGGTAGTCGGTCTCCACCTCTGTGCAGTCCCACCGACCATCGCCCTCGACCTTCTTGCTCAGCGAGGCTTCAGAAAGTGATTTCCCCACATCCACGGCCATCGGGACAGAGCTTCTTCCGCAAGACGCCGCCAGGCCTCAGGCCCTCTGAAATACACAACACACGGTAGCAGCAGCTCGCTGTCCCCGCTCGTCTCCACGCCAAGTCAAGAAGCTGGGTATGCCTAATAACGAAGAGCTCCAGCGCGTTCTGGGTCAGACCCCAAAAAGTCGCATTTCAATGCGTCAAGTGGGACAGAGGAAAGAGCAAACCTTCGTGTCTCAGCAGCGCTTCCCGGTTTCGAGGACATGACACACAGGAAAAAGCTAAGTAAAGCTCTGGCCGCACTGAGAACCATTCTGTGCTTTATACCTTGCCGCCACGGTGCAACTGTCTCCTGAATTAATGGCCAATCTCACGAACAGTTTGTGCACCACGAGGTTACTGGGCCCAAATGAGACACCCCTAACTAGGATGTAAAGCACCTGTTAGCGTGGCTGAGCCCTGATGGCCCTTGGGGTGGAAAGCTGAGGGCTTTTTCAGAGACAGACTCAAAACCTTGAAATGGAGCCACCCAGAAGTGAGAAATGTATATAAAAAATTAGAGGGGGAGGTAAGAGTCTGTAAAACCCAAACCTGGAGCTTAGCCCTGCAGCTTCTACCTCAATTCATAAAATTAACTCTTTGTGAAATTAATTAATGGAAATACTTCCTCAATCAATGACACATTTTCAAGCATGTTGTACAGCCAAGCCCACTGCATCTTGCTGCAAACCCTTCCAACATGAGATATCACTCTTGAAGCCAGAGCCCCGGCTGCTCGACGCACGCAGATGCTCCACCAGCACCCTCTCGCTGGACTCCAGTGAGGAGCTGCAGCAGGACAACCGATGAGCCAAACCAAGGAGACCCAACACAGCACAGGGGAAATCTTGTTTTGCCACCACCAGCCCGAGCCGAGTGCTGCTGCTTGCCTTTGCCAAGCTAGCGGGACTCAATACGAATGACACCCTGCGGATCCCCGCTGAGCACCGAAACCGGCGCTGCCAAAACGCCCCCCAGGCAGGCTCAGCCGCAGACAGGCATCTTCAGAGCCACGGCAACGCCGAAGCCTCCTCCAGTGACTCCAGCCCAAACCAGGGTGCCGGCACCAGGAAAACACCGGCGGCATGGTTTTGCCGGTACTCCCCCAGCTAGCGCCGGGCTGGCGATGGAGACGCCAGCCAAGGGAGCACCAACAGCAAACTCAATTTGAAA